AAAAAAAAAAAAAAAAAAAAAAAAAAAATCAGCAACATTTCTATACACTAATAATAAACAAAGAAAGAAATGAAGAAAACAATACCATTTATAATAGCAACAACAAAAAAATACTTAGGTGTGAATTTAACTGAGGAAGTTAAAGATACTAAAAACTCTAAAACATTGATGAAAGAAATTGAAGAAAACACAACTAATGGAAAGATAACTCACATTCATGGGTTAGAAGAATTAATGTTAAAATGTCCATACTATCCAATGTTATCTACAGATTCAATGCAATCCCTCTCAAAATTCCAATGAAATTTTTCACAGAAATGGAAAAAAATAATCCTTGAATTCATATGGAATCACAAAGGATCCCAAATAGCCAAAACAATCTTGAATAAAAAGAACAAAGCTAGAGGCATCACACTCTCTTATTTCAAAATATATTATAAAGCTACTGCAATCAAAATGTCATGGCCTTGGCATAAAAATGGACACATAAACCAATGGAACAGGGCAGAGAGCCCAGAAATAAACCCACACATCTGTTAAAGAAATTGAAACAATAATTAATAATCTTCCAAAATAGAAAGCACCAGACCCAGATGGGTTCATTGGTGAATTCTACCACACATTTAAAGAAGAAATTATACCAATCCTCTACAATATCTTTCAGAAGGTAGAAGCAGAGGGAATACTTCCTAAGTCACTCTGTGGGACCAGCATTACCCTACTACCAAAACCAGACAAAGACATTACAAAAAAAGAAAATTATAGACCAGTATCTCTCATGAACAAAGATTAAAAAATCCTCAACAAAATACTAGTAAATTGAATCCAACAATATATACAAAGAATTATACACCATGACCAAGTGGGATATATCCCAGGTATGCAAGACTGGTTCAACATTCATAAATCAATTAATGAAATCCATCACATCACGAGGCTAAAGAATAAAAACCACACAATCACATCAATAGATGCAGAAAAGGCATTTGACAAAATCCAACACCCATTTATGATAAAACTCTCAGTAAACTAGGAATAGAGGGTAACTTCTTCCACTTGAGTGCATTGACACAAGGAGAGTCACTAGTGGAGACCAAAGAAAAGAGGAGATGCCCTCTCTCCACAAAGTCCATTCCAGAGTGACAGAAGAAGCATCTGCTTTATGATAATATTGGGGGACCTGAACACACCTCTCAGTATTAGACGGATCATCTAGGCAACAAATCAACAGAGTAACTGCTACTCTTTCAGAAGGAGACCAGAAATCTAGGGTTATCAGTGGTGGGAGGGGGGAGGGAGAGTGGGATGGGGAGAGATTGGACAAGGGGCATAAAGAATAAGTACAATTTATAACTATATATGCTAGTAATATTGATTTGATCAACATACATCAAAGTTGAACCCTCAAAATATGTATAATCAATTATGATTCAATAAAAAAAGTAGTAAAGTGCAGTGAAAGCTAAAAAATAAAATGCTTAGTTCTTATCTCTGATGAATTATCAATTTGCAAGAAATTCTACATATTCTCTTAAAAAACCATAAAAAACATACATATTCTCTTACAAAACCAACTTTTGGACCCTGAAACTAATAATTTAAATACTAAAAGGACTAAGAATTTATAGGAGGTTTGGGGCGATTGACCCTTTTTTATGTAAATGCATATCTTTTCATAATCAGATAATTACATTTTTATATAAATTCAGCATTTTTTGTCATTAAAGCAGAAACACCTATAATGAGAAATTAAAATAGTAAAATATCCTGCACTATTTTGGAATTCAAATTTGAATCTACATTTGATATGATAAAGAAGATGATGTCACTCTAGATTCTCAAATAGAGGAGAGGAAAAAACCATATTTGGGGGCAGGATAAATTGGAAAGGAGGAGAATGTCAATGCTTGCAGTGAAAGGAAAAAATAAAGTGATCATTTTCTAAGTCTGAAGATATGGTTCTGAGAGATGTTAATGAAGATCAGTGGGATTAACATTTTAGAATATATAAATTAATTCAACAATAAGATGAATAGGCAAATTAGACTTCAGTATATCAGAGAACTCTGGTGAATCATCCTGAGCTCTGGTGGGAGCTCTACCTATCTGATATAGACACAACTGGACCTCCAGATCTTCTGGAGGGTATCTTCTAAAACAGATCTTTAACTCCATGATCTAGAACAGAAACCCAGAGAATAGCTTACTACTTGGGGATGGCTGATGTGAGAAGTTCTGGTGATTTGGTCTGAATTATATACTCCATTGCCTTCTTTCCTTCAGGCCAAAAGGACACCCAGACTTCTCCTAAGAATGGCTGCATACAGGTACTGAGTCTTGTGACTATTGTGTACCTAGTGTTTTGGGGCTTTGGCCACAGAGCAGTTCATGATTATTCAACATAGAGCTAGTGGAACTGACTTCTCTTGTCTCTCAGAGCACAATTTACAAATTTCCCTCTATCTGAAATAGCCACTGGGTGGACAGAAAGTGAGGAGGCAATAAACAGGACATTTTATTCTTTCACTGCTCTTCTGTTCTAGGTCAAAGCAGGGTGTTTCTATGCCCTATATTTTGTTTTTAAAAGGAGGGTATAGGAGAAGTCAGAAAGAGAAAGAAGGAGTAGGTATTCAAGCAGATAATTCTAGAGCTTTCTTTAATATTGTGTTACTTTTAATAGTTTCAGTATTTTACTTACCACTACTGCACAGAGGTTGTATTTAGGATGTTTCCGGAATATTGGACAAATGTAAGGAGTGAGGTCCAAGTTAGTGAGTGGGTAATGAATATCTGTTCTCAGTTTCCTTTTCATTGTACCCTGAATGTCAAACCTGGAGGAATAACAAATGTGTGAAATATAAAGTAAGCTCGTAAACCACTCATGAATAAAATCTATATATCTTCATAAATTCCAAGTACAAGTACAGTTAATATTTTCTTGGAACAGTTATTTGGTACGGACCTGTAAACTTTTTTCTAATCTAAATATATTTCGAAACACCACATCCAACAAGACCCCAAAGTGAGACTGAAGTGTGCCAGGAATTTGAATCAGGGAGTGAGACAGTGTAGATTCAAGCTAAATGGATTTAATGGGGAGAAAAATGAAAGAGACAAAGCAAGGCTCAGCATAGGGGGAGTAGGAATCCCACTGAGAACTTCTTTGCTCCAGCTGAGGTTATTTATTCTAATCAAGTTGGCTCAGCTTTACCTTATCTTGATTTCAGCACATGTTGTCTTGGCAGTGTCCTATTTTCAAGTTCTAAGGTTTCAATATGGTGATTTGAGAAAATATTATGAAAATGTTTCACATTCTGTACTGTTATATAGATCAGCAGTTCCCAAATCTGGGCTCCTCAGAATCATTCAGGTGCTTTTTTAAAAAAATTATGTTTATTTTGGAAAAATGGCTGATTTAGGTCTGAGGCAGGGAAATTACTAGGTGAGCCTGAGGCATTCTTGTGACAGAAAGCAACAAACCTCATTTGCAAAAACTAAAGAATGGTGTTATAACACCAAGATCAACTTCAGATACCCATACTGACCAGCCACCAAAAGAAGGAAAAAAACAAACAAAAAAGCTAAGGGAATACCATATGAGCCAGCAATCCCAAACCTAGAAATCATATCAAGAGAAAAGAAGACTTATGTCCACATAAAAACCTAGTGTTTAT